TGAATAGTGACATTGTCCACCCCTGGGTTAGATTTGATGATGTATTTGTATCCTGTGAGCCTGTAAGCTGTCTTATAGTTTCTTCTCGGTGGTATTAACATTAGTCTCTCGCTGCACATTCTTTGTTTTGTGGACGCCTGCCTTTATTTCCCTCTTCCCTTTAATAAACATCTTATGACGTCTGGCTTCAACGTATCTGTTACTGGTCTAAATAAAGCATGCTGTTCTGGAAATAATATTGGACATTTCAGAGGCTAATGAAGATCTAATGGGACTTCAGCTTTTTAATAACTCTTCGGATATAGGAAAGAGAATGTAACAAGAAACGAGATCACTGCGCAAAAAGGGCTTTTTAATCTATATTATTGTCTTAATACAACTCGCCTACATTTATTTGTTTATTAGTGGTTTATTTAACTACGCTTTTAATAGCTCAGACTAGCCTATATTGGTTCTAATGTTACAATAAATGAATGGATGGAAGCGGTGGCGAATTTACGTTCCTAAGTAAGGAAATGAGCTGAGCGGATTAAAAAATATTGTGCTCTGCTTAACTAAAATGTTCTTATTGTTGAATATTATCTGAAAAGCGATTCATTACATGCTGGAAGAATGCATTGATATATATATTTCGAAACGACAAGGTTTGTTGATGTTTATCTATGCCGCATTTACGTATTTCGTTTCACGGAGTGTAACATATCCCGGAAAGTTTCAGACCTGTTCCGACAATAAGAGTTATGAAATTCGATAGTAAAAATCTTATTTGTCTCACCTCGTATAATCTAAGAAATGGTTTTTTATTATTGTCTTGACATGGTAAGTAGCCTCGCCGCAAATTTGATACGCGAGATGCAAAATTAAGCACTATCGCATAGCGACCAGACAACTCTTAGTAGTAAAAATAAACATACACAACTACTTAGTATACTTCTTTTTGTTTAGACCAGAATTACAGCTCCTCATTAATGTACGGTATTTCATGATCTTACTTGAATTGCTTTAATTACGATACGAGCGGAATGGAAATCGAACCGTGTGACAAGAAACAAGGTAATTTTTTCACATAGGTTTTTAATAACAATTATATCGAGTTATACTTTAATGATCATGTTTGTCTTAAATCAAAGATTTCGTGAACATGTTTGAGAGGGATGATGCAAGTTTAATTTATGATCCCCTACCACTTCTTTGAATACATGTTAATAAACATAACGTGTCTGACCCACAAAAATAGTTTTAAAACGTGTTCTTCTTTTTAATGTGGATGTACATACGAACTACTATTCCCACGAACTTGTTCGGTCTCTAGCCATCAATCTGTTATGAATAGTTGAAGGGGATAAAAGGCAACTTCCATGAAGGTATAACCTCGTTTCTAATCCATTACAAATATTAGGCCGGTGTAACACAATTTAAAGTTTGTTGTTATCTGCCGAGATAAATATACATTAATTATCAACAACTGATTTCAGTTTATGATAAGTGTATACATACATATATATTAAAATATTCGTCTGATTGTCCGTCCGTATCTTTTTCTCCCAAACGACACGTTGCAAAAAAATAACAAATAGATAAGCAATTCCTCTAGGAGAGACATTCTTGGTAAAATTATCAGATTTTGTTAATTTCGAAATTTAGGCAGAAGGATGTCCATAAAATATATTATTTTTTATTATTAGTGTTCTGTCTGACGACAGGTCCATATGAACGGGATCCTTCATCCTTTTCTCGGACTGAGACCTGTTCATATACGTTCTTGGCAGATGATCCAAAAGTGGTTTGCTATTGCCTTCTTCTGTGTGTGTGAATGGAGTAATTGTTGGGATGCCACGGAGAAACCGGGGAGGCCACGGAGAAACCGGGGAGTCCCCGGAGGAAAACTCCGTGATACCTAGACCACGGTCTTGCCCAACACAAGTTATAAATCTGAGCACCACCGGGAATTGAACCCGGGACCCCAGGATTACAAGGCTAGTGTTCTGACCACTAGACCACCGTGGCGGTATATAAAATATATACAACAGCAATTTGTAAAAAGATATAAATACGAAATGTTCCTCTTGGAGAGAGGTAATCCCGGAAAAAGAGGTATTGATTTTTCTAAGAGCGAATGTGGGCGCAGGGGCGTTCTAAGAAGTTACTAATACAGCGGCGCATTTCTCCCAAACAGCGCGTCGTAGGAGAAGCATGGTCAAACACAGAACATGTTCCTATTGGACAGGTGGGTCGGAAAAATGGCCTGTTCGTTTTACTTAGGAAATTAGTCATGAGTGTGTTAAAGAAACAAACATGAACATCGGTGAGTTTCTGTCAAATGGCGAGTCGTAACAAGTGGTAAATACGGGAAGTCCTACTCTTCGAGACACAACTCAGGACAAATTATTCCAATAAAAAAAAGTAGATACAGGGGTGTCCTAAACTTACTCAGTGGTGCATTTCTCCCAAACGGATGTGTCTAGAGGAAATGGTGAGCTACCACACAGTTCCCTTGGAGAGACAACATCGAGAAACGTATTGCCTTATTTTGTTCCGAGAGACACAAGGATGTCCAAAATACGTAGTATACTACGGAGTCGTAGAAATTTGTATATTAAAACGTTCATCATGCAGAGACAAAATAACAACTAACCTCCATCTAATGCCGAAGTTAACAATATGTAGAGCTATACCTCCACTTTCTCATATGTATTTATGAAGCGGTGATTAATTAAGCACCAATATAATGCTTTGCCTTACATTTACATTATATAGTAACTGCACATAGGCCTATTTTATTAAGTTACATAGACTTGTACACGTTCTGTAACATTTTTATAAATTACATATAATTCTGGTTGATCTTGTAAACAGGTGTTCTTATAGGCAGATACTGAATAGAATAAAAGTCGAGTTACAAATTGTGTTATAGGCATCACAAACAAGAATTGGGTGTTGCAAATCCGTCTCGTGGTTTGGAAGGCGAAACAGGCCTCATGTAAGTAGAATGACCGTGATCCTATCCAGAGGTATCAAGATATAAGATTGTACGACGTTCGCTTTTAGTAAGTGTAATGAATGTCACAGGGCGGAGTCCGTCTTGGAAAGCTAGTAGTGTCTCATCTGGTCAGGGAACGTCTTTTACGGAACCATAAGATTTATTACCGTCTTCACACGAGTCCTCCATTGATCCGTATCTTGAGCCAGCTGAATTTATTCCACACTCCTATATCGTATTTCTTTAAGGTCCAATCTACGCGTCGGCCTATGACTTGTAATTGATTTAATTCCTACCTTCAGGTTGTACGACTAGAATTGTGTATTTCTTTCTCATTTGTCCTATGCGTGCTACATATCCTACTCATCGTATGCTTAACATGTAGCTAACTGTGACGGAATAAAATTTCTTTGGTTAGTCACAGTAGGACAAAGTGTGTATTGATAACACTTCAGTTGTCTATAATGTATTTTATTTTTCTCCGTATTTGTTTGTTGGTTATATATATTTGTGTTTGCCTGCCGTAGGCTTCTTGCTGTTAGTGAATACCCTAATAATTGAATTAAATTTGATTTATTTATAAACACTGAGTCAGAAGATAATAATTTGTATGTAGCCTTTATACGTGACAAGACATATTCAAGTATTTAAGCACATAATGTGGCAGATAACCTCAGAGCATAAGTTTATTACCAAGAAACCTTGAATATGAAAAGTACTGTGAGGAAATTAACAATTGAAATGGTCTTGAAATAGAAATAAATTGCTTGAATTAATTATATATTTTGTAAAAAGTACAGTAGTAAAATTTACGATTACATTGGTATGAAATTAATAGCCAATAAAAATAAATTCTGAGGAGCACCTGCAAAGTATAGTTTAATATAAATGCTTCCATCAGTATAAGGAGTCCTGGAAATTTTACAGATGTGGAAATTATGCAATTAAGTGATTACTCCTCCGAATTGGGGGCTTCTGGTACATTAAAACTTTAGGCATAGACGAAACATTAAAGTTTTTCTTCGTCACTGTGTTCTTAATTATTTACTCATAAATAAATATAAAACAGAATCGTCATAAGTAATTTCTACGCGAAGTTATATAAACTCCTGTGCGTTAATTGGTCTGTTCTTAAAATCAGAATATGGCGAATTACATATACATCTCTTCTTACCATCTCTTGACATTTTATTATAAGTAACAAATAAATTTTACATTTTTATAGACTTTTCAATAACTTATTTAACGGCATACAATAAATATTTCTCCTACTTTAATAAGTTTCATCAGCCACTTGAAACAACCCGTAATCAGATGAATCCAGTCCAGACCCCATTTCCTTAAGATTAATTTTAATATTATACTCCCATAACTCTTACGTCTCCCAAATGGCCTGGCTGTCAGAGTACAATTTTTGCATGCATT